CAGAGGCTGCTTGGGAACGGAGGCATGTGCCACGTCTCACCTGAGGCACGCAGGGGAGACTGCAGCTTCACCAGGGCAATGTCGTTGTCCTTGGGAGACATGGGCGTCACCTCGGCCAGGAAGACCTTCTCCACAGCCAGGGTGGTGGTGCCTGAGAGGAGGCTGGAGCCAGCCTTCACACGCCAGCTCTGGATGATGGGGTTGTTCCTGTGCAGGAACACATCTGTCGTGGCTCCCCCCCTTCCCCTCCGTTGCTCTCCTGCCGAGCCCCGCCTGCCCGTTGCCCTGCTCAGCGTCAGCCAGCCGCGTTGGCCCAAGGGACGCACAGCCTCACGCAGATGTGTTAATTATGAGACATGTAAGCAACACACGGCTCAAACCTGGAGGGACTCAGTCTGGCCCCGAGCAACCGACCCAGCCCGGCTGGCATGCTGCAGCGGAGGGGTGCCGACTCACTTGAAGCAGTGCGCTGCCGTCAGGACCCAGCTGGGGTCAATAATGCTGCCACCGCAGATGTGCTCCTTCTTGTACTGCAAGCTGACCTGCCACGGCCAAGCCTCGATGGCGGCCGGACTCCCGCCCAGCACCCGCGGAGTCCTTGTGCTCTCCCCGCAGTCTTCAGCCAGGAGCAGCGACAAAGCAACAAGTTAGCTGGGGAGGGGGGTAGGAGGAAGAACCCCTGCTCTGCGCTCCGCCATCCATCCTCAGTGATGAGCAGGGGTGGAGGAACATTTCCCTCAACCCTGTGACACTGCCTATGTCACCCATTCGTGGGACTCTTGGCACATCCCCGTTTTGTTCTCTGTTTGCACATTGTCCCTGGGGCTTGCTGAAATCCATTCGCCCATTCCTTGCCTTCTCCAGCCCACCAGGCAGATTAGTTTAATCAGGGTAATTCATCAGCAAGAGTAAACCCATCCAGGCAGCTGGCTAAGCCTCTCTCAGATGTTTAATTTCTGGGATGTTTATACTGGCTTAAGAAGGAGGCTAGCAGCAATTAGATCCAACTTTTCTCATGCAAACAGTCTGGGAACCCGGGAGGGACAGGTCTCGCTGCAGCACGGCACATGGGGCCATGCCAGGAACAGGGACCTGGGGAGGCGCAAGGCCCTGCAGGGTGTGAACAGTGTCAGGATACTTACTGGAACAAAAGAGCGAAACAACTAATCCAGAGAGGCATTTCCTGGAAGAGGGAGGAAAAGGGCTGGACTGGTCACAGCAGAGACTCTGGCTCCAGGGCCAGGCTCCTGTGCAGGGCGAGGGGCACACGTGGACCTCCCTCCGCGCAGCCCCATCGCTCACCTGCCGGGCTCGAGCATTTGGAGGCTGCCATTGCTGAGCACGACCTCGCGGGGAGGCAGGGGCTGCCCTGCGCCCACCTCCTCTGCCTGGAAAGTGGGGGTGCTGAAAGAGATGGGGGGCACAGGTCAGTAAGAACACACTGGGGTGCACCGTCCCAGGCATGGTACCAGCAGGGCATGGGTGCTGGGAGAGGAGGAGCATCTCGGGGAGCCTGGGAACTCAGAGTGAGCTCAAAGCTTCAGTCACTGATTTTCTGGAACTGTAAGACACTGGGCTTAGTCTGGGCTCCTAGAGGGACTCAAACACCAGAACCCATCTTCTCCCCAGGATACCTCTAATTCAACTCTCCCTTAATCCAGGGCTGATGTCAAACACACAGGGTGAG